ATTATTGGTGTTCCAGCATGCAGGTCCTATCTTAGATTCTTAACCATAAAATATGCATATTGATCACAACCTAATTGAAACTGGTGTTTTTTTTTTGAAGAGTATCTTGAAGTCCTGTGCATATTCTGAATACTGGGTGTATTAAAATCACATATTTGAATTTTGATGAGCTATTTTAATTATTCTAATATTATTTTATATTACTATATTTCTTATTTAATCCTTTGTACCCATCTTAATAGTGGAGATTCAATGTTGGATATACTCCAGTCAAATGTGAAAATGTGAAGTAAACTGAAGTACAATAATGCCACTAATCAACCAATCCTGCACCTGCTGAGGAAATGACAGGGGTGAAATTATTGTGAGGTAGCTTTGCACATGCCCTGCCTACTTGATTTGGCATGGTGGGAATAATACCGTCTGCCATCAAAATGAGAATACAACTGTATTCTCATTGCCAAACAGAGCCTAAGTAGTGGATCTTAGCCTGCAGCTCTCAAGGGCTCCATCATGGGAAATGTTACACCTGTTTGTACTCATTTTGCACTTGCTTGGTTTCCACTTTCATCATTGTCCTTTTTTTTAGCTCCAACTTGCACTGCTGTGAGGAGTGAGCTGTGCAAGCAGTTTGGTGATGAGCAGCCAATAAACAATTGCAAAAATCACTCTGACAAAAAAAAGCTTTTATCTATTTGCCATAGCAGGCTTTGCACCTGTAGGCACACTCCAGTGATTATAAATTATAATGATGGAGATGTGTAATACAGGAAAGATATCATTTACCTTCAGTTTTGTCATTCAATATCTTTGTGATGACATTATCCAACACATTGAGATGATATTGAAAAGGGTGGGTCACACTGTGACATCCCAAACATTAGCCATGTATGGCATTTTTGTGGAAGTGTTGGAGCTGTTACCCCTGCCCACTTCATCACCAGGTGTGTTGCTAGTAAATAATCCATTGCATGACAAAAGCCAACCTAAAGTGACATGGGTAATGCAGATGAGCTATATCCACATGCCTCAGACTTCAATGAGGAGTGAGGTTTTCAATGCACCTGTGCAACTTGTCTTCCCAGGGATCCAATCTGTTGTCACCTAATAATTGTCCTCTGATGTTCAGTCTGATGATACACTTTGCATGGAGATGAATGTGAAAGTGTGAAATATGCAAACAAGGATCAAGTGCATCAGGAAAATCTTAAACACCTAACACACACACACACACACACACACATACCCATACACACTATTACAAGAGTTTGAGGGCCTTTGGTATTGAGAAATACCACTTTTGTCCTCTTAAGTAAGGTCTCAAGAGCTTCATTTAAAACCAGTTTTTATTGTAGGGTGTTATTCAGAATAGTTCAATAGAACAAAGTATGTCTGACTGGGAACTTGGGCTTCTCAAATGCAAAGTTTGGAATCACAGTTTTTACATTAACATAAAACATGACTTCAGTTGACTTTTATAGCTTCAATGAGCTTTCAATTATTTCACTATGCTCCAAAACAAAAAGGTATGAGTATCCTGTCTCATCTAAATGATACTGTGCTTAAAACCTCTTATTCAAGTCTCCAAGTAAGTTGTGGCCTCATTCACACTGTACTTATTTAACCACAAGGAAATCTCCTTTAATTTTCTTTCCTGTTCTTTAGTTTTTAAGTCCCATTCTCCCCTTGCTCTCATGTCATTGCCAAACTTCAAATTTGTCAGTTCTACTCACACACTAGCTGCCTTAACACTGCTCATGCATTGTTCAGCAAACCCAGCTATGCCAACCTTAATTTGATGGGCCTTGTTAGGCTGTTAGGCCTAGTTCAATCTCAGATGGTACATTTTCATTTTAATTCATTTCTTACATTTTAAAACTAACATGGCTTGTTGGCTAGCTCAAATATTTCTATTATCTTGCCAACAGGGTTGAAGAGATGGTCTGTGACCTTTACATCTGCAAATCCTTCTTCAATGTGCAAACTAGGTGGCTGAAGAGTCTGTTGTCCCTGAGTAGGAGATCTGGATGCTCAAAGGGGTGCTTGAGGGAGGTGAAGACCCTGACATATGTATTTTTCTGATATATTCTCTCTTTTTTATTCCAACTTTGGAATTTTCAGGATGAGTGCCTCACTGGTAATTTCTTGGCAATGCCCTCAATTCCTGCTGACCCTCCTGTGAAGGCTGCTGTCCCAGATGATCCTTCTATGGAGGTTTCCATTCCTGAGGTGCTGCCTGCAGAAGCCGTCACTGAGGATCCCAGGTATAACTATGGTATGGTCACTTCAGTCACCCATTTTTGGGTACCTATGAGGTTATCCTTGAAATAGGGACCTTAATGGTACCCCATTCCAGAGTGGTATGACTCTCATACCAATTCCATCATACTATTGGTATGGATGCCACATAACATACCACCTCATATCATATCATACCATACCATCATTCCAAAGCTGTCACAGTCTGGGGTCCTTATTACAAAATATGAAAAATATTTCTGCTGGCTGCAATTCTGGTCCATTGGGCTCCATTCTTTGTGGGTCAGTTCTTCACATTTCTTCTGACATTTTGGGATACAATTTTGATCCCTAGCCAGAATCCTTGGTTATTGGATTGACATCAACTCTGCACCTGTACATGCCAGGCTTCTGCAGTGATTTCTCCCAATTGGCCTTCCTTCACAAAAGGAGGTGCTCAGCCTCTGCTTGAAAAGTATTGCCAAACTAGTGTTTAAAGGTTCAGTCCATAGGACCGCAAAAAACCGGTGGACCGAACTGAACCGGACCATGGTCTGGTCTTTTTTTCGGTTGCAGTTGCCCCAATTTGGGGTTGGTCTGGTTGCCGGTTGCCTCATTTCAAAAATCTTTTAAAACCGTTCAAAGACCGGTTTTAATCGGTTGCAACTGGTTAAACGGTCACGTGCGTTACATAGCCTTGTAACCACGTTTATTGCCTTTTATTGGGTTTTTGTTTCATCAAAAACAGTTAAGAATTGAGAAAGATATAACCAAATCCATATTTTACCTGAGTCTCTAGGAGATGTAATTCAGTTTCAGTCATAGCTATGTCAAATCTTCATTAAATCACTTGAAAATTGGTAGAATGACGGGTATTTATATGCTTTACTATTTTATATAACCCGTTTATTTTTCAGAGTAATAATGGTTGAGATACAAATGGTTTATATTGATATAATAAATTATACGCAAAAAAACCGGTCTGGATCGGTCTGAACCGGTATCATGGACCGCAAAAGACTGGTCCTAGGTGGTTCGGTTCGGTTCCCTCAATATCTGGGTTGGTCCTGGACCGGTTGCGGTCCACGGTTGCGCGTTTTCGGGGCAAAAAACCGGACTGAACTGAACCTTTAAACACTATGCCAAACACATGCCAATCTTTCCACATCATCACTGTCAAGGTATATGATCAGCTGCCACT